GAATCCTGGGACTCTTGTGTCTGCTGATTTGTGTGTGCTCCTGGGCCCCTCCCAGTGGAGGTCCGCCCGCGGCCCCCGGGCGGGGCGCGGCCGCCTGCGGGAGAGCCCCCTGCCGCTCTCGGCACCGCCCCTCGCACGCTCTCGCGCGCGGGCCGGGCAGCCCTCGCAGGTGGGCCCCAAAGTGGCAGTCCTCGAAGCAGGAAAAATCATATCATAACATAAGCATAAACATAAACATAATCATACATATAAACACCACCACCGGCAGTCCTCGATGATTTCGGACAGAAACATAAACACAAAACTTAGAAGAAGAAAAACCATACAAACGTAAGCTTTTGGCGCTCCGCGCGGATCTCTTGGATCCGCGCCTGGGCCCCCCGGCGGCGCCTCCGGCGCCGCCCCTGGCGCGCTCCGCGCGCCGGGGAGGGGGGTCCCGTTCGAATCCAAGAAATCCGCGCGGAGCGCCAAAAGCTCATGTTTGTGTGGTTTTTCCTCTTCCAAATCCTCGTAGGTGGGCCCCAGCCCATCTCGACGCGCCTCCGTCGGGTATCGCGCCCCATGCGCAGAGGGCCTGCGGCGCATCCCTCCTGCGCCGCACGGTAAGTGAAGAGGGGCCGCGCCCTGCGCTGCACGCAGCCGCATAGGCATTGTCCCTCCGCCATTTTGTTCATCCTCTCTCTCTCTCTCTTTCTCTCTCGCCCCTTCGCTTTCTATCTCTTTTCCTTCTATCTCGTTTCATGTTTGCATATATATATATATATATATGTATACAGGTACACATCAATTGGTGTAACTATCTGCGCATGTAACATGTTTGAGCCCAGCAGTGGCACTGCTATAGCGGATGGAATACCTCGCATCGCAGACGTGTGACTCATCTTTCGTTACTCATCGCGACATGCTAAAACGCAGTGCTCCACAATGCAGTGCGACACTCCGAAGTGCGACAACAGAGTCCCAAGATGGCTACAACAGGCCTCAAGAGGATCCCTTATTAGCAGCTGTAGGGTCTTCCGGGACTGATCCCAGCTTCGGCTTGACTAAAGGGCCCACCATGAATGCTTCAGTGATAGTTATCGACGTTCCTTGTCACGACGAGTCACCTGGGCTGGTTTTTCCCGGAAAGGGCGTGGGCCCAGGGTTCTCTTTTAGTTTGTAAACTTAATCCCCCGGTGCCTGCTTGAAGGAGGCCGGCGAATTGCCGGCGAATTTTTTCCCTGATAAATAACGAGGTCGAAGGAGGCCGGCGAATTGCCGGCGAATTAAAATTTGAGGATGTCTCGAGCGAAACGCTTGTTTTTCAGAAAATGGTGAGGATGTCTCGAGCGAAACGCTTGTTTTGTGTTATAGATTGTCCTCTCCTGGGGACCTGAATTCTGAGGACCACCTCCCAGCACGACCACCCCCCCAGCACGACCACCCCCCCAGCACGACCACCCCCAGCACGACCACACCCCAGCACGACCACTCCCCAGCACGACCACACCCCAGCACGACCCCACCCCAGCACGACCCCACCCTAGCACGACCATCACACCCCAGAACGACCACACCCCAGCACGACCAGACCCCAGCACGACCCCACCCCAGCACGACCCCACCCCAGCACGACCACACCCCAGCACGACCACACCCCAGCACGACCCCACCCCAGCACGCCCCACCCCAGCAAGACCACACCCCAGCACGACCACACCCCAGCACGACCTCACCACAGCACGACCACACCCCAGCACGACCACGCCCCAGCACGACCACGCCCCAGCACGACCACGCCCCAGCACGACCACCCCCCAGCACGACCACCCCCCAGCACGACCACCCCCCAGCACGACCACCCCCCAGCACGACCACACCCCAGCACGACCACTCCCCAGCACGACCACACCCCAGCACGACCCCACCCCAGCACGACCCCACCCAGCACGACCACACCCCAGCACGATCACACCCCAGAACGACCACACCCCAGCACGACCCCACCCAAGCACGACCCCACCCCAGCACGACCACACCCCAGCACGACCACACCCCAGCAGGACCCCACCCCAGCACGACCCCACCCCAGCACGGCCCCACCCCAGCAAGACCACACCCCAGCACGACCACACTCCAGCACGACCTCACCACAGCACGACCACTCCCCAGCACGATCACGCCCAGCACGACCACGCCCCAGCACGACCACTCCCCAGCACGACCACCTCCCAGCACGACCACCCCCCCAGCACGACCACCCCCCAGCACGACCACCCCCCAGCACGACCACACCCCAGCACGACCTCACCCAGCACGACCACACCCCAGCACGACACGCCCCAGCACGACCATGCCCCAGCACGATCACGCCCCAGCACGACCACCCCCCAGCACGACCACCCCCCCAGCACGACCACACCCCAGCACGACCACACCCCAGCACGACCACACCCAGTCGCACCCCCGTGGAATGTTTCGTGGGGTGTCTCGTGGAATGTTTCGTGGGGTGTCTCGTGGAATGTTTCGTGGGGTGTCTCGTGGAATGTTTCGCGGGGTGTCTCGTGGAACGTTTCGCGAGGTGTCTCGTGGAATGTTTCGCGAGGTGTCTCGTGGGATGTTTCGCGGGGTGTCTCGTGGGATGTTTTGTGAGATGTCGCCCAGTTGGGTATCGTGAAAACGTGACCATGCTGCGCATGTCTATATCCCTTTCCGGGTTCGTGGGTCCATCATGTTCTATACACGAGTGATGATACACGACATGTTAATCCATTTTGCCACGCTCGCATGAATCAAGCATTTGGGCATTATTGGGGCCCTTAGTTGGCCCATATTGGGCCTTCTTTCGGCCGTGGAGGAGGCCATCGACATATTACCTTGCGACGCACCCAACTCGCTTTAATCGAGTGACCGCAACAGTTGTCCCACATTGTTTTGGATGGTGACTATGCAACCACTGTCATGTGCTTCGCAAGCTACATGGGATACCCACGTGTTGCGTGACTCACACGACACAGATAGCAAACACGCTGGATGGATGGATGTAGTTAGGCCCCATGCTTGAAGGGGAAATGGGGGCTGGGACGAAGGGGAAGAGGAGATCGGAAAGAGCAAGAAAGTCGCCGCGGCAGTAGCTGGGAGGCGAAAGAGGGAGTAAGGGGACGACAACGATAGGAGGGATGAGGAAAGAAGGTGGCGATTTTCACTTGGCTCGCTTATCGGTTGCGACGCCGACGCCATGTCACCTTGGTACCGCTAGTGGTCAATTGTGTATAGTTGGTGCAGGAAACGGTACAATTCTAGCTCGAATGCCAGCTTCTCCACTTCCTTCCTGCGTCTTGCAGTGCAGGGGCTGCACGCCCGCAGGCGCACCGCCAGGTCAGCGGGCGGCCTGCGGAAAATTATATCCAGCCTGGGGTCACATAGCATCAGCCGGTTCTCGACCCTCGTGGCCTTGGAGAGTATCGCGTAGAGATGCAACCACAGGCCGTCCAGGTCGACAATTGCTCTGTGGTGCATGGTCCAGCCCTGGCATGCCGTGGACGTCATGGTTTGGGCGGGGGAGATGACCAGTCCAATGCGCGTGACTTTCTGCCTGCCGAGGTCGAACGGGCTTGAGCTTTGCGGCTCATCCACACTGTTGGCGGCCGTGCGTGCGACCTCGCCCGTGGCCTCCTTGACGAGCCTTCAGTGGAGGTTCAGGTGTCCAGCAGGTGTAATTATACGCGTGCCAGCGTGCAAGGGTAGCATCTTGTGAGTGTTGCCCGCCGCGCCCATGTTTACGCGATCGAGGGCGAGTCGGCGGCTTAGACTAGGTAGGGCGCCTGCCCGAGAAACCTGGCGTCATCTCTTCGCTCGCATCATCAACCACCGACCCACAGCGTCCCAGAACCGAACGTTCATGTGCTCCATCTGGAACCGTTCTTCGCCCAGCCGCTTCTCGTTGGGCTTCAGCTGCTGACGCTTTTCTCGGTTTGAGATCGGCGATATCGGTGTCCTTGAAGTGGGTGGTGGCTTGGAACTCGAAGCGCAGGGCTGCGTCGCAGCAGAACTTTCTGGCTCTCTGGTGCTCGACGCCATCCCGTCCGAGACAGTTTCGCAGCCAGTGGTGCACTTCGCGGCCGCCCATGGATGGCGAGGTCCAGTCCGAGTCAGGTTAGGTCGTCACCGCGCTGGGCTCCGCCAGCAGCCTCCGAAGGTGGCGACGATTTCGAAGTTCGCATCCTCCCAACGTTGGGGGGGGGGTCTAATCTGAGCTTGGGCGGGGCGTCACTGGTCCAGGCTTATCACCAGTCCTCGGAAGTGGCGACGCACTCGCAATTCGCATCCCCCCGAAGCCACCTGAGAGCCATCGTTGGCCCCCCTAGGGGTATCCTGGGGCCACAGTGCGGTCGATCTTGGGCCATTTGGTGCTGTGGCGCGCCATCGTGGAATTCATATTCTGCTCGAAGGGCCAACTTGAACCATCTCGAGCCATCTTTTATCCTGGGCTACCTTGAGCCATGAAGGAGCCATTCGGGGCCATCCTGGACGCTCCCGCGTTTCGAGGAATCCCAGTCGAGACCACCGGGGCGGGTGGTATGGGTGGGGCCAGTTCACTCACGAACAACGCCACGATCCGTCGCGCTCGTTCCCACCCACCACATCAGTAGGTCGCCGCAGGGGCAGCCATGAGGGATTCATACAGGCTCCAGGTCGCGAGGTGCGCCACGCGTGCCAGGTTCAGGAGGGAAAGAAACACACAGACACAATTGATCGTCGATTCCCAGGAAAACATGGGAAAATATGGGAAGTGGTGGGGAAGACAGAAACCCAGAAAATATAGGAATATATAGGGGATATTTTTATTTGTGTGTATTTATTTGTGTGTCCCAGGGCCCCTTCACAGGTGCGCTACGCGCACGAGGTGCCCCTGGTGCCCCAAGGGCCCATGCGTGCCACGCGCGCCCAGAAGCACGCCCTGTGCGCGGCGCGCGCCGAGGACGCCATCATGCACGCCAACGCGCGTGGCAATGCCCGTCGGGCAAGGTGTTGACACTACACCAGCCCCGTGGGCACCTGCTGCAACGTGGTGGCGGGATGGCCTGCGTGGTGCGTGGCGTGCGCAGTCGCAGCCTTTTTTTTGCGCTCGCTGTTGGCAGGGGTGCCGGGCAGCCGACAAGAAGCCGAGCGAGCTCCCGGCAAGCTGCGCTGCCGGGCCTGCCGCACGCTGAAGCAGCATCGCGGTCGCGTGTGAATGACCGGTCTACTCTGTAAGAACGGTTTTTTGAAGGCAGATCTGCCTTCAAAAAACCGTTCTTACAGTTTTGAAGGCAGATCTGCCTTCAAAAAACCGTTCTTACAGAGTGCCTGTCGTAGAGCTCGCCGTGCCTTGCCTTTTTCTGCGGCGGGTGTGGCGGAGGGGGTTTGCCGCGGTGTCCTCGAGCGGGGAAGGGAGGCGCACGCCGCTCCTCGATGGGGTGAGAGCGGGGTTGGCCCTGGAGCAGTCTGCGCCCCGGGACGGCTGGGCCCGCACGGCCAGGGCATTCGCGCGCTCTTCGCAGCGGGTGTTCTGCGGTGCAGCGCCATCCACTGCAGAGCGCTGCAGTGAAGCAGCAGTTATCGGCCTGCACGTCGTATGGTACGCTGGAGTGCAGTGCATGTTGGTGCAGGCAGTGTAGAGCACGGGCGTGACCTGCAGTATGGCGGATGCCCTCGCCCGTGCATGCACTCGGGCTTTGCATGTTCTGCACGCGGACCAGCTAAATATGAGGCAAGCTTTCGTTCAGACCAGGCTGAACACAGGGTAGCATCATGTAGAATGTTATAGCTTTGATTCGCTTTGATTTGAAACTGTTTGTTGTGCGGTGCGCTTCATCGTATTGCGTTGTTGCTTTGTTTTCCATTGCTTTGCTTTGAGCTACGTAAGTATGGAACTGCCTTCCATTGCGTTGCTTTGATTTGTAGTCAAGCTCTGCACTGCACTGCGATGCCCTGCGCTGGACTGCGTTGCCTTGCCCTTGCTCTGCACCGCATCTGCTTTATATGCACTGCTCTGTTGCGGCGGCGACGCGACCACGGGCGATGGGCAACGACGGCGGCGACGACGAGGGGTGACGACGCTGCGGACTGGGTAGCGGCGGCCAATCCCGCCCAGGAGCGGCAGCAGCGGCGCGATGGCCTCCAGGGCGCGGAGACGCGGGAGACCCGGCAGCAGCGGATCAGGACGCCCTCGCGGCCGCCCTTCGGCTTGGGAGGTGGCCGGAACGGCGTCCTCTCCCGAGGGCACCACTCGTCGTAGGACGGATCTTCTGGCGTCCCAGTTTGCGACGAGAAGTCGGAGGGCGTTCCTCGTGCGTCCTCGTCCGCCCCGGGCCCCGTCCCAGGATGCCTCAGCTTGCACGGGACTCCCTCGGCCCCAGAGGCGGCGCCTTTCCGGAGGGGTGGGCTTCGAGAGGTGGGCCGGACGACGGGGGGGGATGCCTGCAGCTGGCTTCTGGCCCCGCCACGATCGGGACGTCCTCGCGGCCGCCCCGCGATGGGGCGCCCTGTGATCAGAACGCCCTTGCGGCCGCCCTTGTGGGCAGAGAAAGAGGAGCACACAATGACAGAGCCCTGGGAGGCGGCGCGGCGCCTCGCGCCGCCTCCTCCTCCTCCTCCTCCTCCTCCTCCTCCTCCTCCTCCTCCTCCTCCTCCTCCATTCCTTTTCCTTATGAATAACTTCTCCCTGTCGCACCCCTTGGCGGATCCGCGCGGCTTCCTTGGACTGGCGCCGGACCCGCCTCCCCCGGCGCGCGGAGAGCGCGCCCGTGGCGGCCCGCTGCGATCCGAAGAGTCCGCGCGGACCTCCAAGGGTTGATTCGGGGGTGGACAGACCTCCTACCCTGACACGTCGATTCAGGAATTGGCCGTTTTCGTTTCGCGAGAGGGCGTCGCGGCCGTCATTTTGCGGGTCCAGGTCCGTCGGTTTCGGTCCCAGGCCGTTTTCACTACGGGGAGGTCTCTACTGAAGGGAGGTCTGTCCACCGCCGATTGATGCTTCTCTCTTTCCTGGCTCCCCGAGGGGCGGCGTCTCTTCGGAGGTGGGCTTCGAGAGTCGGGCTGGACGAGAGGGGGGGATGTCGGACGGGGCCAGGACGAGGACAGATCTCTGTTGCAGACAGCATTCCGGAACGCTCTGAGAGGGCCGCGGCGCCCGAGGCACCCCCCGGAGCCGCCGGATCTCGGTTCTCGAGTAATCCTCGTCTTGGCTTCGTCTTCTTCGAGAGTCGGGTCGGACGAGGGGGGGATGCATGCAGCTGGTCTCGGCCCTTCCGCCGTGCGCTCTCCTCGGTGCCTCTGACCCCCCAGCGCCCAGAGGCGCCGCAGACTCCCCTTTTTTTGACGTTGCGCAAACCTAAGGCGGAAGCCTGGAGCGTGCATCTCCTCCTCCTCCTCCTCCTCCTCCTCCTCCTCCTCCCCCTCCTCCTCCCCCTCCTCCTCTCTCCTCCTCCTCTCCTCCTCCTCCTCCTCCTCCTCCTCCTCCTCCTCCTCCTCCTCCTCCTCCTCCTCCCACTCCCCCTGCTCGTGGGCCGATTTGGTACCACACCCCCTTGTGGTCCCCGCAGGTTTGTCCGCCGCGAGACGCAGGAGCGGCGCCTCGTCGGAGGGGGGAGCTTCGAGAGCCGGGGCGTGCCGGCGTGCCTTTCCCGCCTGCTCCCGGCCGTTCCTCCCCCCCTGGTCCCACAGCTCCTCCTCCCCAGATCACCTAGATGCAAACAAGATATCTTGCTGATGGGATTGTTTTCCAGTACAACTACCAAAAGTAGGAGGGAGGGTCCTCCTCCTCCCCTTCCTCCTCCTCCTCCTCCTCCTCCATCTCCTTCCCTAGCCTTCTAACTTATGGTAGTGGTAGTGGAAAACAGTCCCATCACTTGCGACGCACCCATCCTCTCGCTGAACACGAGGCGACTGTTAGAGCCTCTCAAGCACTAGCCGCGAAGGTGGCGACGGCTGCCCAGTTGGGGGGCGAGCTCTCATCCGGCTACGCGTGGGGCCTCGCGCTCCGCTGGACTTCCCAGGAGCCCGGACGGCGGCAGCGGTGGCGCAGTGGGCAGCCCCCCAGGGCGAGCGCGAGAGGACACGAGGCAGGAGACAGGGAGGCATGGGAGGGGGGGAGACGTGGGAGCATGTTGTCGCGCAAGCAGTGCTCTATCCAGAGCGGGTGCCTCGACCACGGGAGGGCCTGGGAGCCTCCGCGGGCGGCCCCGGTGCCACACTCGGTCCAGCGGCCCTCGGCGGGGTCGGAGAGCACCCTCCTGGTCAGGCAACAGATCCGACCCTCGCGTCGACCCAAGGGGGGCGGCGTGGGGCCAGGCATCCATCGCTGGCCGCTTGAGCATGCTCGTTTCTCTTTTTTGTCTTCTCCTTCTCTCTCTCTCTCTTCGTCTCTCCTGCGAGCAGGACAGAGCAGGCCGTAGCGGCCCCGCCCGCGCAGGAGGCAGCTCGAGGCCCCGCTGCCTGAGGCGGGCCCCGACTTCGAGCGCCTCCACTCCGAGTTCTACCGGAGGGAGGAACGGCTCCAACGGATGCGGGAGGAG